ACAATATTGGCCTAGAATTATCTGCAAAATGGGCACCAACAGAGCTACCCTTTGAGGTGAGGTGATGGAAGATCCTATATGAGGGCAGTGGGGACCCCGAGAGGATGAGGCTTCCTCACCTCGGGGTACCCAGCTGCAGGAAATGAGTAGGGACTTGGGCTTGGGAGGCCTAAGGTGCCGATTCTCTTCATTTACAAGATGCAATAAGCTGTTTTTCCAGTTGCTACTGGTATCATTGTTTTGACCTCTAATCAGCAGGCAAAAACTGCAATTAAAAAAAAAAAAAAAACCTATAGTTTGAGATAAGTAGTTCTCTTATCTTAACTTGCTCTGACCCCAAGATAATCCCAAGGTCAGCTCTGAACTTCCAAAAGCCAGCTTCAGCCAAGGCCAGAGGGAGACCAGCTCTACAGGCTTGTCTCAGGCCACTGAAGGAATACTTTTTCATTTCAGATCACAGAGGGAAAATAGGCAGTGACAGCGAACTACAACAAACCTTCCCTTTAGCTGAACTTCTAACTGCCATAACATCAGATGTCAATCCTGGTTAGCTTGCTGTTGACACTGCATGAGTCCTGCTCCTTTCTGTATAAATACTTCAATCACTCATCAACTGCACTTGTATACTGGACTTTACCATCTAGGAGAAACCTCTGGGGCCAAAAAGGCCTTCTGAGGGAGGCCAATCTCTCTGTGGACAGGGGATCACTTGTCCCAAACAGAAATATATTCTTTGATGTGGACAGTAATTGAAACCTTTTCTCAATCTTTGCTAAATGTGAGTGAAAGCATCCTTGCTACTTTTATAAATCTGTAAAAACACACACCCCTGGACTCATCTGCTTGCTGTGCAAACCCGGCAGGGAGGTGACTGCTCCTCCCATTCAGAAACTCTGTAGCTATCATCTTAGTGAATACTTGGCAAAGGTTAGCAGAGAATGATAACAGAGAACACAGCAAAATAACTATTCTTTTTCATTTTTTTTATTTTTTTTATTTTGAACAGTGGGTTTGACGCTCCCCCTTCCTTTTGGGAGGGAAAGGTTTGAGTAAGGTAAAACATGTTCTCCAGTCCAACCATGGGTTCCAATCTGTGCCCAGCTTCTCAGAACAAAAGTGCCCACCCCACGGGTTCTCAGAGGCCTACTTGATCTGACTAGTAAAATTAAGAGATTTTACTTTGAGTGGTAAACACACAATGCAATATACAGATGATGTATTATAGGACTGTACACCTGCAACCTATGTAATTTTATTAACCAATGTCACCCCCAATAAATTTAATGGGGGGGGGGGGGTTAAAACTCCACTATAAAAATGCCACACAGACCTTCCATCCTACATCTTTCAAACTGAATGTGGCTTTTTCTCCAGGGTTACACAGAGGGTTTAAAAGGGAAAATTATATTAGAAGAACTTTATTTTATGGTCACAAAGTTAAATGGGGCATGAGAGATTACTGAACTGTACCTCCTTATTCTTAGTACCATGCCAAAAATGACTGAGGACTTATGGGATAAAAGGCAGAGGTAGTGGTATTCAACTTATGAATAAAAACAATGAATCCTTCCTTCCATTTACATGAGGTGCCTAACCTTAGTGCAACTCACAGAGACGGAAGTAGAATGGCAGTTGCTAGAGGCTGGGCAGAGGCGGGGAATAGGAAGTTAGTATTTTATGGGTACAGAACTTCAGTTTTGCAAGATGAAAAGAATTAAGTTCTGGAAATGGATGCTGATGATGGTTGCATAACAATGTGAACATACTTAATGCCACTGTCCTGTACACTTAAAAAGAATAAAGATGGCCCTGACCGACTTGGCTCAGTGGATGGAGCATAGGCCTGTGGACTGAAGGGTCCCGGGTTCGATTCCAGCCAAGGGCACATGCCTGGGTTGCGGGCTCAATCCCCAGTTGGGGGGTGTGCAGGAGGCAGCCGATCAGTGATTCTCTCTCATCATTGATGTTTCTATCTCTCTCTCCTCCCTTCCTCTCTGAAATCAATAAAGAAATATATTTTTTTAAAAAAGATAAATTTCATACATATTTTACCAAAAAAAATTTTAATTAGTTGGTGAGGGGAGGAGAAATCTCTCAACCTGCTAATTTTTATTTGGGGACCAGCATGACATAGTGGCTAATAACTAGAAACTCTGGAGTTTTTTTCTTGTTTATTTTTTTAAATATATATTTCTTTATTGATTTCAGAGAGGAAGGGAGGAGAGAGAGACAGAAACATAAATGATGAGAGAGAATCATTGTTTGGCTGCCTCCTGCACACCCCCTACTGGGGATCCAGCCCGGAACCCAGACATGTGTCCTTGGCCTGAATGGAATCTGGGACCCTTCAGTCCGCAGGCTGACGCTCTATCCACTGGGCCAAACCGGCCAGGGCAAGGAACTCTGGAGTTCTGAGTTTCTCTCTGTGTTCTGCATTTACTAGCTGGGAACCTTTGAGCAAGTCACGTGACATCTCTGAGACCGTTTTTCGGTTTACAAAAATGGAAATAATAACAATAACAGTCTCCTACCTCATAGGCTATGAGGATAAGAGAAGAAGGAAACTGAATTTTATTAGCACAAGAGTGAGCACTTGCTAAAATGAGTCACTAAAAAGTCAGCAATAATTAAGTGATAAAATTACTAATATTATCAGAGAGATTTCTACGAGCCTGAAGAAACTTCGTTTTACGGGAAAAAAAGAAGCCCAGCTTAGGAGTCAGAAGACGGGCTTCAAGAGTGGCTGTGGGCGTGAGACTTCTGTGACACACAAGGGTTGACAAAGATGATCTCTTAGATTACCAGGAAGCCAGATCAGCTTTGTTGCTTGGCGGGAACCAGCCCTGGCAGCACCTTCCTCACCTCCTAAGCTTCTCGGAAACGTGCCAGGCGAGGGAAGGGGTCCAAAGGTCGTGCCAGAGAGGGCTGATAGCAAAGCCCCTTCCTAAGCCCGAGGTGGCGACACGGTGCCAGGTTGTGCAAGACACCTACGCATTGGGAGCAAGGGTCCCGCACCCTCGTTCCTCCCCTGCTAAAGCCTGCAACTCTGCCCGCTGGGAGAGCTGCAGGAAACTGCAAACTCCTCAGGTGCAGCAGAGACCCCCAAGAAAAGGCATCCCCAAAACAGCCTGGATTGCAGAATTATAAATACCTCCTCTGCACATGCGCACTGAAATTTGCGAGCGTCCCGGGGCACAACCGCGCCCACTGCGCCTGCGCCGTCCAGCAGTCCTCCGGGCACAGGACAGGAAAGGGGGATCTCGTGGACCCGCGAAAAAAGAGTGGGTTTGCGGTGGCCGTATCCTCATTTCTTACCTCGTAATGCTTCATGATTTCTTCACACAGCGGCTACTGCTCCAGCTGCTACTGCTGCTGCTGCCTCCCAGCACGCAACGCAGCACAGGTCCCTCGCGCGCTCACGACTGCTGCGCGAGACTAACCACGGCTCCGCGTCCGCCCCGCCCCTCCCTGCAGCCGGTGCCCTTCCAGCCAATCAGCGTGTAGGGAGCCCACCTTCGTCCCTTCCCCACGGGGCTGGTTTGAGCGTAGACTAGCCGCTCTCACCATAATGCTAGCCAATCAGCTTGCGGAATCCATCGAGGGGGCGGTACGCAGGCACGAAGTGGGCGAGAAAGAAGGGGCGTGGCCCTCCACCAATCAAAATGGGTCTCGAGGCCGCGCGCCCCTTTCCCCGCCTCTTGATGGCGTCGCTGTGGAAACGAAAGGAAGCGACGGTTACTGCAAGGCGGGGGCGGAAGCAAGAAGTTGAGTGACAGGGAGGGCAGCATCCACAAGGCGGGCGGCGAAGCTAGGTGAATTCCGAGGTTGGCGGCCCCTGGGGTACTGGGGAGCAACCGAAGAGGTCTAGGGGTTGGGGGCGTGGGCTGCAGCGCTGGTATGGAGTGGCCTCCGGCGAGGAGACCCCTATCTGTCATGAATGGGAGGGAAGGAAAGGGGAAATGGGTGGGGGAAAGCACCCTGAGACCCTCCCAATCTGAAATCAGGGGGTGTCTTCACTGCCCTTTTTAGTGCAAGCTCCCGTCTCCCTATGGCAGGGGACCCACATTTGTTTCTGCCTGCGCTGTCCGGTATGGTCACCACATGAAGCTGGTGAGCCCTTGAAATACGCTGGTCCAATTTGAGATGTGTTGTATAAATGTCAGACACATCAATTCCAATGACAGTACGAAAAGGAAATAATTTTTTTAAATCTCATAATAACCTTTTATGTTTATTACACCTTGAAATGATAATATTTTGGATATATTGGAAGAAGATATATTTCTAAAATTAAGTTCCCCTGTTTCATTTTACTTTTTTTTTTAACAAAGTACTTTTTTTGGTGATATATTTTTATTAATTTCCAAGAGGAAAGTAGAGAGTGAGAGAAATAGAAATATCAACCATAGGAGAAAATCATTGACTGCTTCCTACACGCCCCCCACTGGAGATAGAGCCCGCAACCCCAGGATGTGCCCTGACCCAGAATCCATCCATGACCTCCTGGTTCATAGGTCCATGCTCAACCACTGAGCCACTCATCTTACTTGCTTTTTTTAAAAAAAAAAAAAAGTTCAAATTATTTTTTTTTATATATTTTATTGATTTTTTACAGAGAAGAAGGGAGAGGGATAGAGAGTTAGAAACATCGATGAGAGAGATCGATCAGCTGCCTCCTGCACGCCCCCCCACTGGGGACGTGCCCGCAACTAGGGTACATGCCCTTGACCGGAATCGAACCCGGGACCCCCGAGTCCGCAGGCCGACGCTCTATCCACTGAGCCAAACCGGTTCGGCATCATCTTACTTTCTTAACGTACCTATTGGAACATTGAAAATCACAGACACAGCTCCCATTTATGGCTGGCAGTTGTGCCTCGCACGCGCGTGCGCATACACACACACACACACACACACTCATACTCATGCATACAACATTTCTGGACAGGCTGAACGGGCAGTACCTGGTACACTCCCTCACCTTCTCTTCTTTCTCCCAGTTCCAGGCCTGCCCTGAGCCACCATCAACTTGCATCATTGGAAACCCATGATGATCTGATATCAGGGACATGGTGAGAAGTCCTCAAAGGTAGACCTCTGAGTCATAGGGTGGGGCAAGGGTGAGTCATTGCTGAGCCCTTAATCATCCAGGTTGGTTCTAAACACTCTGAAGCTACAACTTTTGGAGACTTCTAAGTAACAGCAAAGGCTGTGGTCTTCAGAAACTATCTTTTTCACTCGGCCTATCCTGACAAAACAGATGAAAACACAAAGGTGTTTTATAATCGCACTTTCAAAAGCATCGATTTTATTCTGTTGGTAGTTGGGGGGCTCACAGTATCTTGAAACCTTTGTGTCCCAACCGGCCTCATTTGCTGCCGTCATTGAGGGGAAACAATGAGAGTACTCACTCTGAGACCACATCTTAAAATCCTACCAAGTTGAATTACTTGAGATGTCAAATTGTGAGGTACTAAGCGGGTAGAGTTGAAACCCTAAAATCTAGCCATGTTTTGCTACTTCGCTAGTTCTGTCAAATTCTAGTTTCTCCAGTGTAGTCTGCATCGGCGCCTCTTCCGTATCACTGGGTTCCAGCTAGGTGAGGCTTGTGGTGTCCTGACCAAATAGATGGCATCCTTGGGGGAATTCTGTACACATTCCTAGGGAGTTGGAACATTCTGGAGTTCCCCTTTTGAGATTGCTTTCCTGAGCCCTGCACTCACTCAACAGGAACCAACTCATTTTGTGAACCTACTATGCTCTGTGCCATATGGAGCATACAAATAATTTCCACCCTGCTCACCCACAAGAAGTTCATAGAAAGGCAGGAGCAAGCCTCCAGAGGAGAAAATTCCTCTTTATTTTTGACAAGTATTGAAGGAGTAAGGACCTCTTGTTGGCTTCGTCTGGCTTCCAGTAACCAGGCTGTCAGCAAAAATCAAATCCACCCTTGGAATGAAAATTGGCCACTTTGTACAGCCATTCATGACACTGTACTGCGGCTCTGGCTGTGCCTGTCATTGGGGACAGCTAAATCATGCTTGTGTTATTAGCCTCAGTGGGTAATAACAGTGACAAGTAGACACATTTGGTGTTGCTGAGCTGACTGTAACAAGCCCCTGGGAGCAATTTCCAAAGAGGAAATTCCAGACAGATCTTGCATTTAGCAGCGCTGAAAGATAAGTGGGGCCTCCTGGGATCTTGGACCTGGGGGACCCCACAATAATTTGGACACCAAAGATCTGGTGTGTTCAGTTGTATCCAGCTCACAGGTTCTGTTTGCATCCCACACATGAGTTAGGTAGGATCTTGATTGTCCAGAACCTGGCTTGGCTGGTTTGGGAGTGCATGATAGAGCTGGTTCGAATTGTGAGGGAAGGTGAAGCAGAGAAAAGACAAGCTAGGGCTGGTTAGCAACTTTCTGCTGTGTCAGGAGCCCCAGAGAGAGGTTTCCCAAGCCCTGCCCTGATTTGCATTTTTTATTGTGAAGCCCATGGGATGTTTATTTATTTATTTTTATTATGGTATAATATAGATACACCTTTTCAGTTTATAGTTCTGAATACAGATAGTGGTATAACCACCACCACAGTCAAGATATAGAACATTTTCAGCATCCCAAAAATCTCTCCTGTACCCCCTGTAGTAGATCCCAGCCGCCAACAACCACTTTCTGCCCCAATACTTTTGCCTTTTCCAGAAGGTGCTATTATATGGCATTACACAGGAAATAGCCTTTTGAGTCTGCCTTCTTTCACTAACCATGTATTTAAAGAGCATCTGCATTTAAAGAGTTCCTGTATCAGTAGCTTGTTTCTTTTTTATGGCTGAATAATATTCCATCGTGTTGCTAGGCCAGTTTGTTTATCCAATCACCCACTGAAGGACATTTAGGTTTTAATGGCTGTCGGTAATTATGAGTAAAACCTTGATAATGATTGGTTCATGGGTTTTATGTGAACATAGGTTTTTATTTCACACAGGTGTTCTACCAAGGGTGGGATTGCTGGCTCATATGGCAGTTGTGCTTTTGAAGGCCTTTTTGATGAAGAGAATTGAAAAGAGTGGTGATGCACTTTTTTTTATAATTAAGGCTTTATCATCATCTGAATCATATCTTACACAAGCTCAGTGCTTATCAGAAAGCACTCAGTGTGCTAAACATGCTACACTTCAGCATCTTATTCCCTGGGTGACCTCAGGCAAGTCACATGACCTCAGAGCCTCGACTGTAAAAAGAAGGTTAACACTAGGCCAACCTCCTAGGATTATTATGAGGATTAAATGAATTAATACACACTGACCACTTGAAAATGGCTTGGCACATAGTTAACTGTTATTATAATGTTCATTTCCTGGCTCCTCTTAATTCCTTCCACATAGTAACCTTGGGTGGTAAGAGCTACTCTTATCCTCATTTTATGGAGGACACACCTAACACTCTGAGAGATCAAGCAAGTTATGTAAGATGGCACAGGTAGTAAATGAGTAAATTGTGGGTCTGGGATTTCAGCTGAGGCTAACTCCAGACTCACCTGCTTAGTTCCTATATCAGTCAGGGGTCTACCAAGGAACCAGAACCAATGGGCTATATGTGTTTGTCAGTGTGTGAGTATTAAGAGATTTATTTTAAGGCATTGGCTTACACGATTATGGGGAGTGGCAAGCAAGTCTGAAATCTGTAGGGTAGACCAGCAGGCTGGAAACTCTTGGCCAGAAGCTGATACTTCATCCTCAGGGAAACTTCAGTATTTTCATTTATAGTTAACTTTTGTTTTGTTTTTTAATTCTTTTCAATTACAATTTACATTTAATATTATTTTGTATTAGTTTGAGGTGTACAGTATAGTGTATAATCATATACTTCACAAATGTTCCCCCTGATATTGCCAGCACCAAACTGTCACCAAACATACTTATTACAATATAATTGACTATATTTCCTATGCCGTACTTTACACCCTCATGATTATTCTGGAACTACCAATCTGTACTTCTCAATCCCTCCGCCTTTTTCACCTAGTCCCCCAACACCCTTCCCCACTGAAAACCATCAGTCTGTTCTCTGTATCTGAGTCCTTTTCTGTTTTGTTTATATTGTTCTTTAGATTCCACATATAAGTGAAATCGTATGGTATTTGTCTTTCTTTAACTGACTTATTTCACTTAGCACAATACCCTTTAGGTTCATCCACACTGTCGCAAATAGTAAGATTCATTCTTTTTTCATGACTAATATTCCATTGTATATATATAACACAGCTTTTTTAATCCAGCATCTATTTTTAATTTATTTTTGTTAATCCTCACCCAAGGACATTTTTCCCATTGATTTTTAGAGAAGAGTGGAAGGGAAAGAGAGAGGGAGGATTGGTTGCCTCCCGCACATGTCCTAACCAGGGCCGGGGATTGGACCTGCAACCCAGGTACGTGTCCTTGACCAGAAATTGAACCTGAGACTTTCAGTGTGCAGGCTGACACTCTGACCACTGAGCTCACTGGCCAGGACATATCCACTCATCTGTTGATGGGCACTTGGGCTGCCTCCACAGCTTGGCTGATGTAAATAATGCTGCAATGGACCATAGGGGTGTATCAGTATTTGTCTTAAGACCTTTCAGTATTTGCTTTTAAAGCCTTGCAACTGATTGGATGAGGCCCACCCACATTATCCAGAGTCATCCCCTGCACTTAAAGTCAGCTGATTGGTGATATTAACCACATCTACAAAATACCTTCATAGCAACACTTTGATTAGTGTTTAATTGAACAACTGGGTAGGAACTTTGGAAGCTGTCACATTTGTAACTCTAAATTTATCCTATAAAATAAATACTAGCTTATAAGTATGAGCAAGTCCCGAAACTGTGGGTTTTTCCCATAATGTGACTCTTCTGCTGTCTATTTATGTAACTTTTTAAAAATCAAACTCTCTTTCTCCCATGACTGGTTCATGCCCCCCGCTATGCTGTGCCAGTGGACACCAGCCCATACGCAGCTCCCAGGCTGGCAGTGCGTCCGAGCCCCCGGGTCCGTGAGTGGCCATGGAGGGCTGGAATCCCGCTACTAGACCACAGGGAAGGCCAGCGTCATCTTTTCAGGAGTCCCAGGTTGCATAAGGATACAGTCATTGAACTTTTTGTTGTGGTGTTCCCAGGAAGCTGGTGGTTCGGCAGCCCCTCCCTCAACAAGAGGGTTTGTTACCCCGCGGAGAGCACTTCCTCTGTGCCAGGCCTGTCCCCGGCACTTTACAAAGGTCGACTCATGTCCACTTCAGAGCTCTATGAGGCAGGTACCACCACCATCCCCATTGCACAGAGTAGGAAGCTGAGGCCCAGAATAGCTTGCTCGGTAAGTAGCCCGGGGTCACGCAGCCAGGAAGTGCTGGAAGCAGAAATGAAACCCAGCTGTCTGGCTCTGGAGCCGATGTCACCCCTCCCTGACCTCCCAAGCCGTACTTCCAGGAACCGGCCGCTGGGGGGGGGGGGGGCAGTGCCCCCCCCCTCTTCCCGGTGCCCTTCCCAGGCTATCCCTTCCTGAACCTCCTTTTCCCATCAGCCCTGTCTGGGACCACAGGCACCCCGGGCTCCCAGAGCCTAAAGGAATCACGTCACCCGCAGAAACAGGCCCTGAGAGGTGTCGGACACACTATGTTCCCCAAATCAAAAGGTAGTGGCGAGAGAAAAAGAGGAGGTGCGTTCAAAAGAGCCAAAAATATTCACGAAGCGTCCACTGCGACCGAGTGCCAGACACTGTTCAAGGTACCGCCGACCCAGCACTGACAGGTCCCAGGGCCTGCCCTGGTGGGGTCGCAGGCTGAGAGCGGGTGACATTGGCCGTGGAAACCAAGATAATTTCAGATTTCAGTGGCACGTGTTCTCGGGAAAACGGTAAAGTGAAAGGCCCGGGAGCAGCGGGGCTGGGAGGACCTCTCGGGAGGTGAGCTTTCCCAGGTCCTCGCCTGGCTTCCTAGGACATTTCTGACCGGACGGGGCAGTCCTGGGGCTCCGAACCGCACGCTCCTCGCCGCCGGGAAAGGGAGGGTGAGACAGGAGGAGGTTTAGCCACTTGCCCGGGGTCTCCCGTCAGGACCCGACCGGGCGTGGCGGACCCGCACGGTCACCGCCCCGCCCCACCGCCCTGGTGGGACCCTGTCGCCCAGGCCGGGGCGGGCCGTGCGGCCGGCCGTGGCGTCCGGGAAAGGGAAACAGGTCGCGAGGCCCCCGCGGCCCGGTGCGCGCGGCCCGGGGAGGCGTTGCCGAAGGCGGAGGGAAGGGGTGTGGCCACGAGCGGGCGGCCGTTGGCGGCGCGGCCCCGCCCCGGATGTCGCGCGTCTCGGGCTGGGCGATGGGGATTGGCCGACGCGTCGCGGGGGGCGGGACGGAAGGTTCTGGAGGGGGCTGGCGGGATCTGGAAGCTTCCGCCGGACGGGTATATAGAGTCCGGGACGGGGCGGCGGAGCGGGGGGGACACCGACAGCTGGGCGGCAGGCCGCAGGCGGGGCCATGGGAAAGGACTATTACCAGACGCTGGGCCTGGCCCGCGGCGCGTCGGACGAGGAGATCAAGCGGGCCTACCGCCGCCAGGCGCTGCGCTACCACCCGGACAAGAACAAGGAGCCCGGCGCCGAGGAGAAGTTCAAGGAGATCGCCGAGGCCTACGACGTGCTCAGCGACCCGCGCAAGCGCGAGATCTTCGACCGCTACGGAGAGGAAGGTGCGTGCGCGCGCGGCCCGGGGCGCGCCCCCGCCGTTTGACAGGCTGGGAAACCGAGGCACCGCAGCTGGGCTGCGGCATCGGGCGGGGGGTGGAGGCCGGGGCCGGCGGCGAGCAGCCCCCGCCCTCTGGCCGCGCGGGCCTACGCCCTCGGATTGGCAGCCGCCGGAAGGGAGGAGGAACGCTGGCCGCGTCGCTCGCCCAGAAGCTTCTAACACATCTGGGGCTGCCCCTCCCTGGGCGCCTCCGCCCGCGGCCCCGGGTGCGGGTGCGGACGCAGAGGGGAACGGACGTGTCTTCGGCCGGTGACGCTGCGGGCCCACAGGCCCCGGCTGACCTGGGCCTGGCGGAGGCCGTGCCGTGCTGTCCAGGGGTGCGGGGCCGGGCCCCTGCTGAGCGCCGCGCACCACCTGAGTGCAGGGTGAGCCCGCACTGGGAGCGCCACTTCTCTCCACCTCACTCCCCGGCCAGGGAGGGCGGGGTGAGCTGATCGCAGTCAAGGGCTTACCCAGCCCAGAGCCAGGCCTAGCGATGGCAGCCTGCGCCACTGCGGCCGGCAAGGGGCAGAGAACAGGGGCCCGCCTCCGCCCCGCCTCCCCGGGTAGCCCTCCTCGGGGAGGAGAAAGCGGCTTTCTTGTTTGTCCAGTTGCTCATGGTTGACTCAGACTGGCTTCTGGATTTGGTGTTAAGAAATTAACTGGCTTTTTATATGGTGGCAGTTGGTGCCAGGGTGTGAGAATTTGAAAACCTCCGAGTATTTTACCAACGTTTTTATTCTCCCCACACATGGCTCCAGCCCTAAAGGACTTGAGAGTAAGCACTTTCTGAAAGCTGACCCTCGGTCAGGTTTTTTTCATCTGATCTCTTTCTCTTTTTTTAATTGATTTTTTAGAGGAAGGAAGAGGGAGAGAGAGAAACATCAATGATGAGAATCACTGACTGGCTGTCTCCTGCACACCCCCACTGGGACCAAGCCTGCAACCCGGGCATGTGCCCTGACGGGAAATTGAGCCCTGACCTCCTGGTTCATAGGTCCATGCTCAACCACTGAGCCAAGTCCCCTGGGCATTTATCCGATCTCTTAGTGAATTCTTTTAAGTCCTTATATCATTTTGGGAGGGCGGGTCAGAAAAGAAGTGACAGGAACTGGGTAGCCCCTAGAGAGGCCCATTTCAGAGCCTGAGCTCCTTGCCGCTGTCATGCCACACTGAAGGGCCTTGATGGAGGTAAAGGCTCGGGTTCTTGCCGTGGCTGGTGTGCTCAGTGGTTAGACTATGGGCCCCTGAACTGAAGGGTTGCAGGTTCAATCCCCCTCCCTGTTTGGTCGGGTTATGTGCCGGAGTCAACCAATCCATGTGTGTCTGTCACATTGATCTCTCTCTTCTCCCCTCTCCCCTCCCTCCCTCTCTCTCTAAGAAAGAAAGAAAAAAAAATCAATGGGAAAATATCCTAGGGTAAGGATGAACAACAACAAAAACTCGGGTTCCCTTGTTCTTCTCTGACAGGCTAAATAAAATTCCTCTCCTGGTGGCTCCCAAGGTTTTTTCCCTTAAGGAAAGCCCCTGGCCAGCCATCTGACTTCTTTTAATTCTCCTTTCAGGCCTAAAGGGCGGTGGCCCCAGTGGTGGAAGCGGCGGTGGTGCTAACGGTACCTCCTTTAGCTACACATTCCATGGAGACCCTCATGCCATGTTTGCTGAGTTCTTCGGTGGCCGAAATCCCTTTGACACCTTTTTTGGACAGCGGAACGGGGAAGAAGGCATGGACATTGATGACCCGTTCTCTGGCTTCCCCATGGGCATGGGTGGCTTCACCAACATGAACTTTGTCCGCTCTCGCCCTGCCCAAGAGCCCACCCGAAAGAAGCAAGACCCCCCTGTCACCCATGACCTTAGGGTCTCCCTTGAAGAGATCTACAGCGGCTGTACCAAGAAGATGAAGATCTCCCATAAAAGGCTGAACCCCGATGGGAAGAGCATTCGCAACGAAGACAAAATCTTGACCATTGAAGTGAAACGGGGGTGGAAAGAAGGGACCAAAATCACCTTCCCCAAGGAGGGAGACCAGACCTCTAACAACATTCCAGCTGACATCGTCTTTGTTTTAAAGGACAAGCCACACAATATCTTTAAGAGAGATGGCTCTGATGTCATTTACCCAGCCAGGGTCACCCTTCGGGAGGTAAGGCACTAGGCAGAGTGGTGTCTGGAGAAAGGGCTGCTTTTTGACACATACTTGTCTTTGTTTGACAGATAGTTCTGAGCTCTCGGTGTCTGTTAGATTTGGGGAATGGGGCGGGGGGGAGGGGAGGGTTAAGAGGGGGCACCAGGTACACAGCTTATCAAAACTCCATTCTTCTGGAGCTTCCATGATGCTGACCTGGGTAGACCTGGGGGCAGAGTCTTAGTTGCAGAGGCCTGATGGCTCTTACCCCACCCCAAACAGCCTCTGGGCTGGAGTGGAGCTTCCTAAGTTATACCCTTTACCTAATGCTGTCACTTTGCTTTTCTAAGGCTCTGTGTGGCTGTACTGTGAATGTCCCCACTCTGGACGGCAGGACCATACCCATCGTATTCAAAGATGTCATCAGGCCTGGAATGCGGCG